GCGCTCCGCAGCCCCCCAGGGGCGCCTCCATCTGCACGCAGTCATGGGGCAGCTCCTCCTTCACCAGGCGGGCGGGGGGTGCTGGGGGAGAGCTTGGGTCACCACCCTGCTCCTCCAACCCCCCAGCTCTGCCCCCTCCCTGGGCGAGGAAAGAAACTAGGCGTCCGGGCTCCCAGCCCTGCTCCGACCAGTAGACCCCGCTCCCCTCTCTGAAGAGGGGAGAGAACCCAAGTGTCCGGACCCCCCGCCCTGATGCCCCCTGCCTTGCAGGGCACTGCTGGGGGAAGCTTGCGGCCCCGCATGCCCCATGGAGGGGGTCTCACCTGCGCTCTGGATGCTGAGACCTGCAGGGAGAAAGGCAGTGTGAGCGGGAGCCCCCCCCCGGTAGCCCCCGCAACCCTGCCTCCGGCCCCCCCGCTCACCGGCGCCTGGCGCAGCGAGGCGCTGGTAGTGGTAGGGGTTCACGCAGACGCTGTCGTACTTGAGGTCGAAGCCGAAGTGGCAGCACTTGAGGTGCCGCAGCTCGTTCTTGTGAAGGTCGGGCCAGCGCCAGAGCCGGGCGTAGATCACGTGCGGGAAGCCTTTGCGCCCGGCTACCTGTGGGGGGGTGGCCCGGACGCGTGGGTCATCTCTCTGGCCTGCTTGGGGAGGGGAGTGGGGCCTAGTGGTGGGAGCAGGGGCTGGGGGGCCGGAGGCCTGGGTCCCATCCAGGCTCCAGGGGAGCCTGCTGGTCAGCGCAAAGGGGCCTGCTGGTCAGTGCAAAGGGGCCGAGAGCCCAGACACCTGGATTCTGGATGCCTGGGTTCCCTCCCCAGCTCAAGAAGGGGCATGGGATCTGGTAGTTAGAGAAAGGGCCGGGAGTCTAGACACTTGGGTCCCATCTGGGCTCCAGGGCAGAGGCCTGGGGGTCAGAGCAAGGGGGCCGGGAGCCTGGACGCCTGGGTTCTCTCCCTGCCCTGGGAGGGGAGTAGAGCGCGGGGCTGCTGCTGGGGGGGGGCAGGTGCCCCCTTCCAGGGCCCCCCTGGGCTGGTCTGTCCAGGGGGAGGACAGAGCCTGGGCACCAGGGCAGGCTCCATGCCCCGCCACCCCCACTGCGAGACACATGGAAGAAGCCCCCCTCCCAAAATTTGCCCCCAGCTGGAGCCCCCCACCCCAGGCACCAGGACAACCCTTGCCGGGGGTCTCCTGCTGCTCCTCCCCCCAGGGCTGCATCTGGAGGGCACAGGAGGGGACAGGGGTAGAACCCGGGGGGCCTGGAGCCAGAAGGTGGGGGCAGGGGCTGCCCTTCTCCCCCCTTCCCCCCCA